TAAACTCATCCTAATTCATATCTACGGCTGCAACTTTGTTTTGGTTCCCGGATTTGCACCTGGGGTTGTCGGAATTTCCAGTTTTATCTGGACAAGTCAATTTATCGAAACTCCCCAATTTATCCCAGGCTACTATAACAGTGAAGCCCGTTCCAGCTAGTACCCACTTTTGCCTGCATGACTGAGAAATTGCAGGGGAAAACACGCATTTTCGTGTTGTCGTCTGTCGTCTAACTTGTATTGGAGGTGCACCACCGCAAACGATGTATCGAGAACGACGACGCTCGCCAATCTGACATTGACTGAGCCCCTTACAGCTGATTATATTGCAAAGTTTGATCCTGATCCTGACGCTGCAGTTGAAATGCAGCGACTAATTGCAATGATACGAGAACCGCCTTATGCTCCAGCTCAAGAAAGCCAACATTTCCGCGAATGGCTAAGTCAGCAAAAAGTTGGCCACTCCTAGGATTAATCGCTATCCAAATTACTCGATCCATCTTCGTTTTTGCTACTACATGTAGCATTAATCCAATTTGAAACTATATGTCGCTTGTGCGTGCACAGAACACGCCCGCAGCTCCATGTAATACGCTAGGAGACCTTTTGCGCGCGCCGCGCGCACCACAGTGTAAATTAGTTTATGAACGTCCCGTAAACTAACCTGTAACTCGTCCCGTAAACCGTACTAAAATCCTAAAGATTTACATAATATAATCAACGCGGATGCGTTACACCTAGGGCATTCGCCTCATATCTTCTAGGCCAATGTCCTCTTCCCAAAGCCATTTTCGTGCCGTACTGAAACGCTCTGAATAGGCACTACGGTATAAACAACATTTTCGTGTGACTTCGGAAGCTAAAAATGGTGTATGTCTCGCTTGGCATCAGCTACGGCATACGAGTCCTCGGACGCAATGAACAGCATGTCCACGCTAATTCTAACGACGCAAGATGCGATGGCGGTGATAGGAACAGGAGTCGGCGGTAGTCCGATAAATTTCGTCACTCAAAACGTTTCCAGTGGTAGTGGTTCATCAGAAGAGAGTGACGGTGCAAACGATGTTGAAGTAGTCAAGTCCGGGTACCAAATCGTGGACGTCTCTGGAGCGCAAGCTTGCGGGGGCGAGGGCTTCAATTACTCGCGATTTTGGGTCGGACCAATACCCGACGGTAACACTACCAAGCTGAACTGCGTCCCCGGTTATCGTTGCGAGGTGGAAGAATCGAGTCCGATCTTCTGGTGCAAACAGTACGCACTGCCACTGAACGGCAAGTGTGGTGGGTATCTGTTTTACGCGCTTTTCAAGTGCATCGATGGTACGGCGTGTACCATTGACCCTGT